CGATGGGAATAAACCTTATTGAAGGGAAAAAAAAATTTATAGTGTTTTTTTTTTTTTTTTTTGCTCTTTATGATACAGATCCACATTTTATTTTGATAGAGCCATTATCCTGCAGGTATGTAGGAGGTTAAAAGCTACAGCTGAGGGGTCTGCCGGGAATGGTGCGACTGTGTTCGCTGCACACTCCGGTAACAGAAAATAGGAGCTAAGTGTTTTGACAAGGAGGGAGGAGGTGCAGCAGTCGGGTGGAAGATCGGAGGTTGGAAAGCCTGGGAAATCTGCGATACGAGGAAAAAAAATACCTGTGCCAAAGTACTCCGAGCTTTTCACAGGTCTCAGTTATTAGTAACTGGAGGTGAACTTTATTTCTCTGTGCGGGAGTCTGCTACACTCACAACTTGGGAGACTCAGACCAATTTCCGTGTAGTCCACCAATGTGCCAGCGCGTTGCTGCAGGTTTAGCTGTGTCGGTGGCCTCTGGTCAAGAACTAATTGGCTTCAGAGAGTGAGCCACCCTTCCGGGCAGGGCTAAAGCTTATTCTGAGAGGTCACACTGCTGACACACGTATTGCTGGCTCACAGTGTGGTCAGTCAGATTTCTTGCACGACCAACTGAAGAAAAATAGGTCATCCACACCTTTTGCATGCTCCCCCTGCTCAGTTTTAAAGCTGAAACAGCTGCTCCAGTCACACTCTTGGCCAGGATCTTATAAAAGGGATTTAAGGTAAAGTAAATGCTGTAGGCAGACCCTTTATATAGTGTCCCTTTATATAGAGAGTTGGGAAGGAAAGGCAAAGACAGTCTTACTTACGGAACTGATATGATTTTACTTGCTTGTTTAATAACAACAACTCAGTGTCCTCTTTCCATATAAATGTTTCTCTGTTCAAAAGAAATGATTACCTGGCTCGCTATCACACTGGCTTCTCTCAGTACTTGCTGGTTCGCTGTTTGTGAAGATGCAATTTGCCCTTGAAGTTGAGGACTGGGAACAAGCTGCTGCTGAGAAATGACCCCTGGCCTCTGCTGTAGCTGTTGTGGCTCTGGCTGTTGAATATTGCTAAAGCTCAGGGACACCGTTGGCTGCTGTAAGAACATCTGGAAAAGAAAGGGGAAGGTTTTATTCACATCTCCCAGCTATCTAGGTACAGATAATGATGGCGACAGAGATAAATCCAAAGATAGGTTTTAAAACAAAGTTATCACAGTTCTGAATTAACTATAAATTTACTGTTAATTGGAAATCACGTATCCTGCTTACATTAACGGTTCTGCTGTCTTTGTTTTCTTTCTTTTTTCTTCTGAAAGCATGCTCATTACTCATGAAATGCATCCTGAAGGTAAAAGTCCTCTCTCCGCAGGGCAGGCACAGCCCTTGTAACAGCGATTCACTGTACAGTCACGGCGTTCTGGGGCATCCTCTCCAGAGAGAACAGTCATTCCCTGTCTTTTCAATCCTTTCATTTCCCCCTTCAGCAACATCAGCCTGCCTTTCAGCCATGGCCTCTTTTGAATTTGTCTCTGAAAATTCAACACCCTATACGCAGCTGGGCCAGGCAGGCTTGAGTTGTCCATGCTGCATAGTCCTTATCATTGAGAAGATACGTAAACAGGCAGTCACTGTCATCTGTGTGATTTCCAGTCAGGTAACTGTCATCTGGTGGTCGTCTATGCATTTGGCTCATGCAGAGGAACTAACAGCCCCTCTGTTAGTATTTCTGCAAACGATACAGTGTTTTGCGTTGCAAAGTGAGACTTTCTTCTTTAAAAGTTAAAAGGCTTTGGATTTTTTTTTTTCTTTTTCTATGGACTATTCATTTTTTTATTGCCATATAAAGGCATCTTTTTATAAATTATTTATGCTACAAACTCTCCTTGCAATATATCAAACCTCGTCGGATGTCCTCATGCTGCCAAGGACTCTAGGAAGGTACGCTTCCCCGGTAGCTGAAGGCGTTCTTGGGTGTGACTCTGATCCCCCGGCACTACTACATGTGTGCATCGCCGTTAATTTAAGTGGAGCTACTTATGGTTTTAATGAAATCAGAATCACAATTACTCTCTTCATTATGCATCCATCAGTCTCATGCCCAGCAGTACATCTGAGGTACGCCCAGTAATTAGTACACCTTTCTGCAGCTTATTGCTATATTAACAATTCCCTAAACTATCATGTCCCCTGCAATTTCTTTCGGGAAAAAAACATACCTTTCTCCAAAGACCTGACACAGTTGCTCTTCATTTGCATAAGTATGGGTTGAGCCATCATATTTGTGCTTATTTATCTAGCTTTTAAAACAGAGTTTATATTTAAATATGTTAAATTTTCAATGCCTTTTGTGTGCCAAGTTTTACTCAGAAAAAAGGTACAGACAAAGCTTACGTTAATCATTTGAGAGAGGGGGGCAATTAATGAAAATGTTAATGATCCTACAGCAACGGCTTGTTTCAGGTGCTATAGGCTAACAGCGCCTTGACGATGTCTGATATAAATAAATGGGTCAGGTAACAGAGTTGTGGCTGTTCACAGCAGGTCTGAAACTAGCTCTGAGTGTTTTCTTCTAAAAGCATTGCTCACCGAGTTTGGAGCCATTACATATCAGAAAGACAGATGGTCTCGCAACTTCTGCCAAATAAATAGGTCTTATTATGAATAAATCACAGATAGAAATTATGAAAATTCATTTTCTTGTTTATTTTCTCTCATTACAAACTGAGCTTTGGACATGCTTAGGAAATGAACTTATTTGGTTAGCTCCAACGATGGAATTAGTGACCATTTGTTTGATATAAAATTCAGAACAAGTAAAGCAAGTGGTGCGTTTCAAAAACGGGATGTGGAATGTGAGCCCACTGTTACTGGCACCATCACCACAAATTAAGACCTTTAAAAGCAGTACCTTAAGGGTCTTCCCTGTACGTGGTGCACAGCGCTGAGAGATACTAAGTTCATCCAATGCAAATTCAATACCTATCAATGCAAATGGTAGGCAGGGTGTGAATTTATAGCAAATTACTTACTCTGCAGGGAACTGCCTGTGTTCATGCTTTACTTTGCGATGAAGGCAAAGTAGCTTATCCTTCAAAGAAAGCAGAAAAGCCTACTTTGCAATTATCAGAGTGTGCCACTGGATAGGAATGTGCACAGTTCATGGTTGGCAGCTAACAAACTATAAATTTACAACCCGGTTCTTCACAGTAAACTTTTTTTTTTTTAACGTGTTCATAGCCTGAGAGGCATACCTAGAGACACACTCTGTTGCCTAATAATGGCCAAAGCAACATTATCACCACTGAAACATAAATGCCCTGGAAAAACAAGCTCAGGACAAGAAGCAGTGGTGCCATTTAGCCTGTGTCTCTGCAGACCAGGAAGACTCAAGATGCCTCATCAAAACAGGGCTCAACCCAAGAGAGGATCGGAAAAAAAAAAAGGAAGAGTGGAATTTCTACCTGCTAGTTAAGCATAAAAAGTAAGAACATACTTCATTTGTACAACACTTATGACTGTTTCTCCCTAAAATATCTGTTGTGGTAGTCCTGCCTCAATTAATCTGAAACGCTGAAATGCTACAGCTTTAAACAACAACAGAAACCTCACAAGAAACAAACTTTTCCCAGTCTGAGCAAATCAAGTAGATAAATTAGCAGCCCCGTAACTGCACTGTGGATGATGACATGTCTCATGGCTGATTTTCCGTACCACAAGGTCAGTGAAGCATCTTAAAAATATTTTTTAATTGGCCAGCTTGCTAAGATGCTCAGCAAAGCAGCAAGAGAGAGAGAAGGGACACTCTAACACTGCTGCCCCCTCATTCCAGGGTAGATGGTCCCTGCAGCTAACGGACGGATTGTGCTGGCAAGACATCGAGAGAAAAGTGGCTGTTTGACTCTACCCATTCTTTGGATAAGCAGGGTCTCACAACCTTCAGGTTCATCATACAGATATCAAGACTCTGTATAAAAAATGTAAAGATAAAAAGTAGGAGTACTGTCGATCTCAGATTCACTGACTTGCAAGGGAGACGGGTTTGCAAATTATGGGTGGCTACGGATGGTCTCATTTGCAGTTCTTGCAAGCTGGTCAGGCTCAGCCCTTCTGCCTTCCTTTCCATCCACTGTTCATTAGCTAGGCTGCTCAAATCGGCAACAGGCACAGCAGCCTTCAGACTTCTGAGGTTACATTTGCTGCTCCTGTCCCTAATACTTTCATTTGTCAGGAAGAGCAGTAACAGGGATTTAATGGGTTTTTGAACAGTTTTGTTCAAGCCGCACAACCCTCCTGCTGGTTTCGTCTTTCATCACGCAAGGCTCATGGAAATAGTTACTAATGCCGACTACTGCGCTCAGCATCTGTCCAGTTGGGAAAGTATTTCTTGGGAGACTCCTGTACTACAGTTTGAAGGAAATGGAAATCAGGCTCAGTTCTCCACAGAGCTACCTACACCCTTCTGTGTGAAAGGGACGCTAATAAAACAGCTAATGAGGGAAAACTGCAGGAAAGGTCCCCCTTTTCACTCCCCCATGCTTCCAGCTATCACGGTCGCGTTCTCCATGTGGAATATTAAAGAGATCAGAAATATACTTGATGGTAATGCTCCTCTCTTTGGTACTACGCTCTGTGGATTTGATAATAGACACAGGCCAACGTCTTCAGACATCTGGCTCCATGAATGATGAAAGCTGTATGGCAAAGCACATGGTTAGATTTCTGATTTAACAGTTTACTCCTGACTGCTTGTGAGTAACCAAAGTGCTGTATACAAAAATATGAGGCTTTGTTTTAAATCACCCTGTTGGTTTGAATAAGATAAACCTAATTCCTCATCCTGCTTTGTCCCTTTAACAGCACAGTAATTTATTTTTTTAATCTAGAGAAAGCTGGAGAAGGAAAAGGTCCTGGTCATAAGTCAGTGTGACCACTCACATCCCATTGCTTTGTCTGATTGTTTGGAAGAGACCGAAAGGCACTCAGACTACAAATACTGGCTCTCCCAATGCAGCTGTGCCCCTCCAGGCAGATATGGCAACCCCTGCTTCTCCAAGCTACCCTCCAGTTCCCCCCAGTTCTGCATCTGTAATGAGCTGCGAAATGGTCAGTGCTAACATCAGACAACTTGTAGCGTTTGGAAAAAATATTCCCCTTGGTCCAACCTCAGTCGTTCTTCATGGGGAAGAAGGCATCACGTGAGTGCTGTAACTCAAGAGCTACAGCAGTCGGAAGGGGACGGCTGGTGCAGAACTACTTGCCATGGGCCTCTCCTTCTCTCTGCTTGAGTGCCCCAGAGCGTAGATGAGAGAATCTGTCCCACAGTCTTTGGGTTATTAAACACTCCACAGTGCGTATGGAAGATTGCTAAGTAAAAGTAAAATCCATTCCCTGCATATTAGAAGGTGCTCTGATCTTCCACTTTTGCCTGAATTATGCAAAAGAAATGGATCAGTGCATATGAATATTGACGACTTCACCAGGAGAGAGTAATGGTTTTTTTCCCAATTAAAAAGAGAAGAAGTGAGAATATCGTGTCTCTTGATATTCGTAATCATAATAATAGCCTTCAAACATATGACATGATTCTGAACTGAAAGGCCAGTTAATTGCAAAGAGACTTTCCTTTCCCTTTAATCAAAGTCAGTGCAGAACCAATAGAAGAAATACACTGATAATAAACCTACCTAAATGTTTGTATGGTACCAGGAACAGAGAGTCCCGATTTTGAGACCCGTCATTGTTGTCGTATTATTAGCACCGCATATGCAGCGACTTAGGTGGCAAAGTTTCTAATTTGGCTTCACGGACTCCTTAATTGCCTAAGCCTACAATCCCAAATTGTTTTAATATGTGAGCTGCATTTCACAGATGCTGATTATAGGTGAGCTTCTATTTCTGTGGAAGTCAGGAGCAAAATCCCCACTAACTTCAGCAAGTCCCAGGTTTTTATACTGTGCTTAAAATGTTCTTTGGGACATTCATTTCTGTGATAGAGTTTGCTTGTAAAAAATCTTGCTAGTACAATATTCACAGTGGGTCCCCAAAGCAGCATTTCTAGCAAGGGTCATTTAACTTGATACTCCTAGTTAAATTACAGGAACATAGCGGTAATAACTGTGGTTTTAGAAAACTTCCATAAAACTGGGTGATTTCTCCATTTGTCATTAAGTGAAACTTGAGATGTACCAAATTGAATTTGATATTATTTATGAAGTGCATCAGGCATAAACAGCAGTACGAAGCAGATACTGTACTTCGTGAATTCCAGCTCTGTGTAGGAAGTGTATCAAAAACACAGGAATAGCAGGTTCAGTTAGCTTGACCCTAATGGCTTAAGTTGGTCCAGGGAAGGACAAACTCAGACAGAAGTGTTGGCCTTCCTGGTCTACACAAATCAACAACAGCAGAGTTTTTGATTTTGTTAGTCTGTTTGTTTTAATATGACAAGGAAAGTCGTCTCTTGTGGTCTATATCCAAGCTGGGGCTGGGTCAGGAAGCAGGGAACGAACGGAAGAGATGAACCCTTGGGGAGGGTGAGCAGGAGAAGCACAGGGCTACTGGCCAAGGAGGAGCTGGACAGATGTGACAGTGAGGACTAGTAATTCGGGTTTGAAGCAAGCACTGAATGGAAGCTAATGAACTAGAGAAACATGATCATTGCTGAGTCTGAGCTTAAACACTTCGCTATTACAGCTGCTCAGTCTGAAGACTCAGTAGATGAAGTACTACTGTGAACAAACTAATTTCTTTGCACCATGGTTGAGATATTTCTTCCTCTTCTTCTTCCAGAGACCTCAATCTTTCTCAGTGTAGGTTTCTCAAGAGGCTCTCAGAAGGCAATATCCTCATTCAGAGGAGTTAGTTTTCTCATGTCTGGATTTCCTGGACTCTGCATCTAAATTGAAGTTGCCAACCCTATTGAATGCCAGGCGAGAAGATGCTTCACTGCACCCCTTCCACCACCACCTCACCTGTACACTGGAGTCCTGGACCAAGCAGAGCTGCTCCTGTATTTTCTGCAGTTCCTCTTGCTGCCACCGAATGTTGGCCTGCAGGATCCGAGTTCTTTGTTCGAGCTGGTCCTTGATGGTCTGGAACATACTAAACTGTGCCGAGAACTTAACCAAAAAAAAAGAAAAAAAATGAACCATTATGATATGGACAGACCTCAATACTACTATAACTTCTGTAAGAAGTTATTGGTCTTTTGATTATAAAACACAATCAAATGAATAAAATGTGTGCTTATAATATACTAACATCTAGGCAGAGATAAATCTTTTCCATTTTTAATTTTACACACGTATGTTAAATTGCCTCAGTTATAGTGATCTGCTCACAACTGACCCTGTTCTGTTAGTGAATCATCAGAGCGACTATTTTTGAGAGTCCGCAACTTTAAACTATCATCAAGAGCATATTAATTAGATGACAAAGGAGCGCATTACTACTTGCCTATAGCTTGGAGCCCTTAGCACGGCATAACCATATATTTCAAAAAGTTCTACTAACAGTTCCCTTTTCCCACACAGAAATAGCAGTTCTGCAATGATTTGTTCTGCTGATTACTTATTATATCATCCTACAATGGTTCACCACAGTAAATATTTTCTAGATTTTTACAGCTGAACAGTAGTCAGACTACAAGAAATACTCATTACTTTATTTTTATACATGACATAAAACGAATGGTGAAGCTCAGTAGGAAAAAGGCTATTCTAAATAATTATATAAAACGGAGATCGCTAATGAGGGTCAAGAAGAAAGTGAAACAGCCAATAGCAGCAATACCTAGCATAAAATAGAATCATTCAATAAGCACCTGGGGGGACTAACATGGTCATAAATTTCTAGTTTTATTTGGTGTTTCAGGGTATGATTTAAAGTCTATCAAAGTTAATTATTACTTTAACTGGCTTTGGAGTAGCTGCTTTGCATGAGTTCCCACTCTAAAAGTAAAAAAAAACCCACTTTGGGAAAAATCCTACAGCGTAGCACTTTGAAAAATCGGCAAGCTTTTCCATAATCGGGCCATCCCACATCTCTCTGAAAACGTGCAGCGCTCTGAGCATCCAGGTGAAAAATAAAAAATCTTGCGATGACTTGAAAACGGTGCGTTGTTCCTGTGGCTTTTTTTGGGGCCCTGTGCTGGCGGGCAAAAACGATGCAAGTTGCTGGAGCCTTCCTGCTTGGTGGAGCCGCGCTCGCTTACACCGTTTCTGGCTTTCACTTTTTTTTGAACAGGAAAACAAAAACGGTGGCAAGGAGGGAATTAAGGAGTGCTCTGGTGCTAGCAACATTGTACAGTTTAATGAATTTCCGGGCACTTGGAGAAATCCAGATGTGACAGGTCAGATTTGTCTCAGCTAACTGCTTTGCTGTAAAACAGCCAAACGGCTGAAAGTCCCGTCACATTCCCTCCAGCAAGCAGCTGAAGTCTCCATGTAAATGTCCCTCAGGAGAGAAAGGAAGACAACTTTAGAGCGCTGGGTCTTTTTTGTTTTTGTTTTTTTTTAATATTTACGGAGGTGGAGGGCGGCTTTCCAGCGACGTCCAAGAGGTCGCTGCTCAGAGCAGTCGTCTGCGGTTTCCTCCTTCGGCAAGGCCGAGGGGTGGTCTAGCTGCCAGCCCGGTTCGCAGCC